GCTCCATTGCAGCGGCTTAGTACTGTAATCACGCGCTTTGCTGTAATAATGCAGGGAACCACTCGTTATAAATCTCTGATATTTGAGTTATAAAAAACTGTGATATTTTCAGAAATAGAAGTCGCGTTTTTTCATCGGAAAAGTGCTGCGATTTATATTCCAAAGCCACACATATAATGCAGAAACACTCATATGTACAAGTACAGTACAGCCTAGCGCATTTCACACAGGCTGCTAGTTTCACCTTCACCATGAAGTCGTGTATGCCTAAGGTTGAAAATAAATGATGTTTATAGTGAATGCCCCTATAAATGGTCTTATTTTTACGATTAAAAATAATCTCTCTCTCTATCCCTACCGTTAAGTAACTTGTGCATTGTTTTACTTACTTGTTTTTGACATATCCGACTGAACTACAAACTTTCAACAATGTAATGAATATTCTATTTATTAAAGCCATGTATGAATCTCATCAAGTTAGTGTTTTTAAGCATTTTACATTTATTCCTAAATAATAACTTTATATATTTTATTTGTGAACTTATGTTCAGCTATTCTTTTTAATAATTAACTTTTAACTATGTTTTAATTTTCTGGATCATCAGTCATCAAAGCTCGGTATATATAATATATAAAGTTCACAGACATGGAGATTTACTTCAGATTTAACCAAGCTGATTACTCACTAAAAACTCCCACAGATCAAGTTTTCAGCCCATTTTAAGTCTTATTTTCACGTAACATGGTTATATCTAAGTGTGAGAGTTGTTTACTTACTTTTTTAAATTAGTCTCCATTAACACCATTATATTGTTCATTCAGTCTGATTCGCGAACGCGGAATGCGCAGAAACACAAGAGATTTATGGCATGAACCAATCACAGCCGAACATAACCAGTTATATATCTATGAAGAATTTCAGTCAGGTTTCAGGCCATAATGCTCTTTTTAGCAGCATCATATGACCTCTTTAAAATTACAAATGACTTGCTTCTTGCATCAGGCCAAGGCTGCATTTCATTGCTAGTTTTACTTGATCTTAGTGCTGCGTTCGACACTATAGATCATGACATACTCATAGATCTCATAGATTACAAAACAGGTATTCAAGGGTAGGCTTTAAGATGGTTTAGATCCTACCTGTCCGATCGCTACCACTTTGTTAATTTAAATGGGGAGTCATCTCAATTATCACCAGTAAAATATGGAGTGCCACAAGGATCTGTCCTAGGTCCTCTGCTATTTTCAATATACATGTTGCCCCTTGGTAATATTATTAGAAAATACGGGATTAGTTTCCACTGTTATGCTGATGATACTCAACTATATATCTCAACAAGACCAGATGAAACTTCTAAATTATCTAAGCTAACAGAGTGTGTTAAAAATGTAAAAGATTGGATGACCAATAATTTTCTCCTATTAGATTCGGATTAAGACCAAATATTACTTTGCAACTAGATGGATGTAGTTACTTCCTCTACAGTCAAAAATCTGGGTGTTATACTAGATAGCAACTTGTCTTTTGAAAATCACATTTCCCATGTTACAAAAACAGCATTCTTCCATCTTAGAAACACTGCCAAGCTACGAAACATGTTACCTGTTTCTGAAGCAGAAAAGCTAGTTCATGCATTCACGACCTCTAGACTGGACTATTGTAATGCACTGCTAGGTGGTTGTCCTGCATCTTCAATAAACAAGCTACATGTAGTCCAAAATGCAGCAGCTAGAGTCCTTACCAGGTCCAGAAAATATGATTCCTTGATTATTATTATTATAATATGATTATTAACAGCAGCTATGCTAATTATGTCTCTGTTTGTTTCTCTGTTTTTGACATTTGACATCCCGTGGTAACTAGGATTTACACAAGCTTCAGTCTGGATCCAGAACAGCTGAGAAGAGATGATGCCAACCCCTCAAAGGACCTCAGATAATGCCAACCATGAAACAACATACAGAACTACCAAATTTTGCTATAAGTTTTTCAATAAGTTATAAGCTATAAGTTTCAATATTTGCGTTGTTTTATTTCTGTAATATCGATCATTTTCTCATTCAATTTTTTGAGGAGACACTGCCTCCCTTGCCTCCTCGGAGGAAATGCTCCTGATATATATATATAATTTAAATAAGCTTGAAATTAATTTCCACTTCATATAATAATTATATGAATATATTATAAGAATTACAAACAATTACAATTACTATAATATAAATAGGCTATAATATATTAGTAGCTGCAAAAGTCGGGCAATTTTGTCTCTAAAATTCTTTGACTGTAAACTGTTTTAAATTGGAGCGAGAGATATGGGGGAGTGGCTTCATTGCATCAGATATGTAATTTTGCTTTGCTTACAGCTAATTTGTCCAGTTTGGGTTTGCGATCTCTAACCCAGAATAAAACCTGCTCCGGAGCAGGGTAGCTTTGTAGCGTAAATTACCATGGTGACGAAACCCACTCAAAACCAACCCATCTTCTTAAGCCTGACAACTCAGAGTTTGCTCAAACTAAATGTGAACTTATCTGGGTAAAAACTGAAACCTGCTTCATGCTATAGGCCACAGGAGTTCGTAATCTGTACTTAATCTGTTTCAGAAAGTCATTTTAGATTAACTAAAAATGAACTATTCTAGATTAAGCCTACTCTTGACTTAATTTAAACCCTGTCCGGGAAACCGCCCACTAT